AAGAACCTGACTCATGATTTATTCAGTCCCTTGAATCCAGAAAACTTTATGTCAGTTCAATGTAATTAATAAATCAAAAATATAGCTCTCTCTTCTTTGCTTTAAGCAGCCTGAGCAAATGTGTTCTGTTGCACAGAGATGGAAAATAACGATTTTACTATCTCACTGTTACAATGGGTTCAATATGAAGCAATTTCTGGGTCTAGCTCGCTTTTTAAAATATCTTTTTTCTTTGATTAAGATCTTAGAAACTTGAACAGTATAGGAATTGATTGTGGAACATCACGCATACACAGGTTCATATTTTGTTCTGGGGTGGAGTGAATGGCTTCCAGTAAAGTCATTTCTACAGTTCAGGAGTAAATTTACAGTCAGTGATTAAAGAAGGTAATATGGGTTGACAAAATACTCAGACAAAGCAAAGTTGCATATCACTCAAGACACAGTAACCAAGGGCCAGTTTTACAAAGGTATTTAAGCACCTAAAGATGCGTGGGTGCTTATGAAAATCCCACTAGGTGCCTACAGTGTTTAATTTGTGCCAGGGCTTGCAGGGGCGAGCCCTGGCATCTCCAGTTGGCAGTTCACAGCCGCAGCACCTTGGGGCTCCTGGCCAGCAGCTGCCGCTCCCCGTTGGCCCAGCTCTGAAGGCAGCACCACTGCCAGCAGCAGTACAGAAGAAAGGGTGGCATGGTATGGTATTGCAGCAAGGGAGATTTACGTTAGCCATTAGGAAAAACGTTCTAACTGTAAGGGTATTTTAGCACTGGAACAAATTACCTAGGGAGGTTGCAGAATCTCTGTCACTGGAGGTTTTTAGGAACAAGTTAGACAAACACCTGTCAGGGATGGTCTAGATCATCTTTAGCCCTGCCTCAGCGCAGGAGACTGGCCCTAGATGACCCACTTCCCTCAATCCTTAGTAGATTGTGTATAGCACACAGTGACAGAGTACAGGGACACTCGACAGCCTCACCTCATTCCACCTCACAAGATGTGCACACTCACTATAGGTGAAAGTTCCCAAAGTGCTCAGTTTCAGCCAAGTATGATCCCATTGAAGTCAGTGATAAAACCTCAATGGAGCAGAGGTAGGACTGAGGGAGTTTGGAAAGCCCATTCTACATAGCTAAGGCACCAGCATGCATAGTCACCAAATGACGGTAAGTAGAATTAAAACCATCACTGCGAGTTAAGCAACAAGCCTAAGATTCAAACCCATAGTTTGGGTTCCACAGCCAATCCCTACCATGCAAGGCCGCACTGACTCCCAGCAAAGACATTGCACCTGTCCGGCCCTCGGTTACACCTGCTTACAGAGTTGTCGGCAGATCTCAAAGCAGTTTACAAAAGGTCAGTGCAAGTAGGATCAGCCTGATTTTACATTTGGCCCAAGTACAAAGATTTGGTGCCATCTGTTGGAGAGCTATTGTCGCGTGAGAGTTAGGCCTCCCCAGACATCAGGATTCTTTTTCCTGCTCTGGCACATGCAAAACTTTCTGAGAAGTGGGATTTTTTCGATCATCTATTTCTTTTCCTAGAATATTTGCACATGACCAAAATACCCTAAAAAAATTCAGGCTGCTCAAAGAGTAGATACATTCAAACCGAATGCCTCAAATTAGGCTCCTAAATCCATATTTAGGCACCTTAAAGTAAACGGCTTGATGATCAGAAGCACTGACCACTCAAAAATCATTATGTAATCAACAGGAACAACTGGATACTCAGCACCTTTGAAAATCTGAACCCTTATTTAAGCACCTTTCTTTGGGCACCCAGGTGTAAAAATTGTAATCTAAGCCACTAAATGAGCTCTTTCTCTAACCCTGGTTTAGGATACACAGTCCAGAACATCCCATAGTCAAATATTTTGCCGCCAATCCTTGGAAATATTCAGCTTTCCAATACTGACGCTATACAACAAATTTATAATTGGAGTCACTTAGCTCTTAAAAAATCATAACACAGAGTATTTGCATGATGACAGAATGTGATACATTGTAATTTGAAAGGGAAAGGAAATCATGAATCACACATTTCTAACAGTGACTGTTCATTTAAGCCGACTAAAGATATAAAATGTTTTTAAATATTCATCAGAAGCAGGTATTTTCTTGGCTGTTTGAAAATGCCTCTCACCCATGAGAAGTAGGGACGATTTGGCACTTCTATATCAATTATGAAGACATTAAAAGGAAAAGAATGGTCTTTCATCTACAATACAGAAGTTAATAAGAGGCTCTGGAGGGAGAAGTGCACTTCTATTTCTTTGAGATTACAGCAGCTGTTGAGCATAAGGTCCTGGATGCATAGAATAATGGATTGGCAGACCAGAGTTTACATCACACAATTCCAGTTTCAAAACACTCATTATTTTTACCCAGTTCCTGGAGTACAATAATTACTACTTTAGTTCTTCAAAGCACCAATAAAGAAAGGCACTTAAGCACGTCTAATTTTAAGTACATGAGCAATTCCATTGACTACAATGGGACTATTCACCTCTTAAAACTAGGCACGTGCTTAAGTACTTTGCGAAATCTGGGCTTTCAATTGTGATTGCAGGGGATCTCCCATGATAACTGTGCTTCTGTGACAATTTTCAAAAATCTCAGTCTTGCAAATTGTGGCACATGCTCTTTCTTACTAGAAGTATTTGAGAGACGGTGTTGCCAACTTTCAAGATTGTATCCTGAGCTTGATAATATTAGGCATTTTTCTTAAAGCCCCAGCTCTTGGAGTCATGTGATTATACAAGACACTCAGCTTTCATTTAAATACAATTTCTGGCCAACATGGTAGTGGGTAAAAGCTTGAAAACTAGAACCCAAAGGCTCCAAAACCAGAAGGCAAATAAAAAAAATCCAAAATGTGCTGGTAAGGAATGGACTCACTTCTGGGGAACACCTTCTTGTGGCCAGGTGTGGCATGGTAGCTTTTGCTCCATTTAGTGCCTCCTGCTGACAGCCGCTTTGGTCCTCCAGTGGCTGTCTCTTCCTGTGACTCAGCCCTCTGGCCAGGATATGATTTAGTCCACCCTTTCAATCCAAGACCCTGTATCACATCTTTGGCCTTGACTCTGGGCCTCGTGGGCCTCACTTCCTGTTCTCAGGGTTCTCCGTTGTCCATGTCCCTCATGCCACCATACCAGTGGCTGGGTGGGGGAAGTTGGGCCCTCCCGCTACACTATGTTCCAGCCTAGGGACCCTAAACCCAGCAGCCAAGATTTGCTTAGGCCAAGTCCTTGTGGCTGCTTCCTTGGGGTTCTTCCTGTGCAGCCTTCCTGACGCCTACTCCCCACAACCACTCTAAGTCCTCCCTTCTCTCAGGGCCTTCTCCTGGAATCCCCTAGCAAACTCCCAGCCTGACCTTACATCCCTCTCAAGTAAATGCCTCTCAGGGCTCCTTCCCAGGGACTCCAGTTTTGCCAGGGCTCCCCACTAGTGAGGCTGTTCTATGCAACTCCTGGCCAGTTGCCAGCCTCGTCTACTCAGGGGAGGATCCAGAGGTCGCTCTCCCTCTGGACTTCCTCCTCTCTAATCCCAGAGTGACTCCAGACTCTCTCCCTGCAGCCCTCTTCCACTCTAAACTTCCTGCCTTTATAATCACTCCCCAGCTCCTCCTGAGTTGGGCTTCAGCCCTAATTAAGCCTTGTCCATTCTCCGGGTGCAACCAGATAACGTAATTGGCCTCTGAGGCCCTCATTTCCCTTTCAGGGCCTGTGTGTGGGGTACACATCCCATCGTAGTCTTACCTCTGAAATCTCATGATTTTTCAGGCCTGACTCTGACTTTGCAATGCTTTCGGCAGTACTGGAGAGAGAATATTGTATTTATGATGCCGCAGAATGTGGGGCACTCCATTTATTTGTTGTTATTTATAGATACTTCTATGGTGCTCATCTCTGAAGTACCCGAGTACCTCATAATACTACAAAAATACATCAAATTACTTCTAAAAGATAAAGTTATAGAGGCCTGGCAGTGACATTGCAATTAGTGAGGCATTGGGAGTATCCTGATGTAATGGCCACCATCTTGGGTGATACACCTGGGATTGAACCAGGGAATTTCAGAGCTAAAAGCATAAGATGTTACTATTGCTTAAGTGCAGGCTTTCCAGCTGGGCCTGTAACAAATTTATACCCTCTGGGGATCTGGCACCAAGGGGGACCTGTACCACACACTCACCAGTTTCTTACAAACTTCCTTTGCTCAAAGGATGCTCATTCTGAGTGCCTCAGGCACACAGAAGTTTGAATCCTGGGCCAGGTCCTGCTCCTGTGATGTACCACACACTGGCCAAGACTCGGCGGCATATTGTACAGACGTGGTCCCTGCCACGAAAAGCTCCGAGATTTAACATTGTGTGTTCAGATTCCCTCAAGCTTGCCTGGCATTTCAGCCTTACAATTGTACCTTCCCTTGAAACCACTTCTACTTGTTCGTTTCTCATGGAAAACTGTAACTGATTTTTCATTTTAAAAAATGGGTTTTTTTTTGGCCTACTGCATTATAACACCACAAAGAAGAGCTATCAAAAGTCAAACAGACGGCAAGTGGGCAGAGAACATTAAAGGCAGATCCTATGCCAAAAAGCAGCCCGTAAAAGTGGGATCCTGAAGGTGTATAGTTCTTATCTCCCAATGATTTCCACATAAAATGTTTAACTTTAAACACATGAACAGTCCCATTGATTTTAAATGAGATTATTCTTGTGCAAATTTCAGCATGTGCTTACATGCTGGATCGGGGCCTTTAAAAGCATAATAACATATATAAAGGAAAAGCTGTAATATTAAAGAATCAAAATTATTTGTAACTCGCCATTCTCAAACGAGGTTGAGAATGGCTCTTGAGAATTCTGTGCATAAGCATATATCCACGGGAAGAAACTGCAACAACAGAAAACCAGATGAATAAGAAATGACATCAGCTTGTCTGATAATATTTTACTTCCAGTTTTAAAAAGAGTGCAAATGAAGTCAAAACACTTACACAGAAGACATGCAGGACTACAGCTCCATGTCTTCTGTCCTCATTTGTAAAGATGTCGCTGGGGAATTCATGGAGAGCTGGGAAAGGAGAAAAAAGAAACATTTAATCAGGGTATTGGAAACAATTTATGGCAAAGTAAGGTAATAAAAACAGATGAGTCCTTCTGTAGGTTGGTAATCTTGCAACAGACAGGAATATGGGATCCCGTGCCATGGGGTTTTGCTACTGCTTTATGTTATGTTAGTTTGCTTAATCTGTCCTCTGGCCATTTATAGATCTGTGTATATTTACTGTGTAATTCAGAGCCATAGCAACCATAACATTATATCTCACGAAGATGCCTCGGAGATCCCGAACAAATTCTAAGCTCAGCATCATACTCCATACAGTGTTAAAGAGGAAAATGTTCTACTCTGGATTAAGCAGATGTGCAGCAATACAGATCACAAAGCATTTTTTACACAACGTTTTGTATTTGAAAAGGGAAAACCCTCAGAATGGGATGGGGAGAAGAATGGCAGGTGCTAGAAATGTTTAAAGTCAAAAGGATTTATTGCCATGGGCTTCTCAGCATAATACACTCCTGGAATACACAAAACCCATCATGATTAGGAACAGCTGGGTCTTGTTTCTGAGTCAGACCTCTCCTAACACCATTTTGGTCTGGACAGGGGAATAAACATAATACAGAGATGTATTAAGAGACGGCATTAACGATGTGATTGGGGTGTGGATGCTTGAGCCACAGTGAAATAAATGTAGACGGTAATCTGCACCCTCAGAAAACACCATCCATCCGATCTGAACACACAGGAGGGAGAACAACAATTCAAACCAAGCGTGAAGCAATCATTTTCAAAGTGGACACCCACAGCTATCATGGGTGGATGTACAATAGAGGCAGTTTCCTCTCCACAAGTGACAGGAACCATCACCTGTGTATTCTGCTGGGTTGGGGAGATGTCACAGCTCCAATGGTAGGATAGCACTAACAGCACTATAAACTATAGCATCATCCCCTGGGCTGTCCTGATGAACAGATGGCTGCTTGGCCCCATCTCCCTCTGGAGCAATAAAAGATCTGCACATGTACCTGCCTATATACTTTCGAACTAGTTCTTCTTCTGGCAGAAAGGGCATTTCCCTGAGGTCATGTTTGTTTTTCATATCTAGCAATTGTACTTAGTTCACTTAGTGTACTTAGCCCCTGGGAGCTGGGGATCTAAATACCTTTGTGAATCTGGGCCAAAGTGCCTTGCCCAAGCTCACATAGGTCTCTCCTCTGGTTGAACCAAGGTGATGCATGATGGGAGTCACATAACCAAGGTGTATCATGGGAAAAGCGGTATGGCCCAGTGAGAATGAGGCATGAAGTACTTGAACTACAATTCCCATGAATAGACATGGCAGAACTTGGTTGTTGTTTTTTTAAATAACAATTTCGATGGATACTATCAATGTTTATTTTAAGCATTTTTTTTTAGATTTTTATCAATGTAAATGTTCACAGTTCAGCAAAATGATACGTTGTAAGTGTTTTTTAGAATTATAGTGATTTGAATTTTCACAATTGTGCGAAATTGGGGGCAGTGGGTCAGATTTATTTAATGACAATAGACGCTGAGATTCAAAAAGTTAAAGCTTTATAAACCATTAAAACACAAATTGTCAACATTGTGTCACAATAATAAAAGTAAAAACCCTTAAATCAACAAATCATACCTGTTTTCACTATTCATTCACTAGTCCATTTGTAATAAGCCTAAATCTCTGGATTTTGACTTTAGTAAGTTCTCAAACAGAACTTTTCTTACGTTGCCTATCATTAAATTTCGATCATCATGGATGGAAATATTTTGTTGGATCGTGTATATATGGTGAAATTGACATTTGCCAATATTTACCACTAAAAATTGAATCCTTTCAACTCTACTATGAGACACCATGGCAGTTCCGGGGGATAATTGTTGAACCAAGTTGAAGCAAAATGCTTCAACATTTCCAGGCCAACATTTTTCAGAAGTTTCTGTCCCATGAAAAATTTTGACTGATTCAGTGCGAAAATAAATGTCAAAATATTGACCTTTCCCATGGGACAAAAATTCCTATTTTTCAACTAGCTCTAGATAAATGCAGGATGATCTAAGGTGTGTCAAATGGTGTCATCTACATGTTGAGAAGGCACGGTGCAAATTATGTCACTGTAGACATCCTTGATCTCACCTCTGAACTTTTCCCTGAATTTATTATTCGTGGATCAGAACCAAATTCCTTTTTACCTAAAATATTTCTCCATGTCCCCAAGGTGAGCCAGACTCTTTCTGTATGACACTAGCTCTACCAGGAGCTTTGTTAGTTCTCAGAGGAAACTATGCTGAAAAATAGCAAAGAACTCTGAATGCAAGGATTTTCACTGTGCCTTACTGGTGCGACACACTTATTGACACTACAACCTCACCCCGCACGGCCATAATATGAAACACATAGCTGGAGAAGAGCAGCTTGGAGGTTGCATGGTGCCAACACTACATTATTCATCAAGTGAGTGTGTCACATATGCTGGTGACTGCCAAGCTACTCCCCAGGAAAAAGGTAAATGCACTTAACATTACCCGACACTTAGAAGTATTATGAGGACTAAATATTATTATTTCTTTCATTTTTGTAATCACTGATAATACCTAGCTCTTATACAGCACTTTTTATCCATAGAGCTCAAAGTGCTTTACAAAGGAGAGCAGGATCATTATCCCCATTTTACAGATGGGGAAACTGAGGCACAAGGAGGTAAGTGCCTTGACCAAGGTCACCCAGCAGGCCAGCAAGTCACATTTGAACATGTGTGCCCTCTTTTTAAGGGCTAAGACACTTCCAGGTGCTTATATCTTCACTTCAGTAGCATTCCAGTGCATAAATAAATTCTGGAAATAAGTCCTGTTTCAGGGCCAATATCTCTGGTAAGAGTTCCAGCTCCTACTCCTACTGTTCCTAATCAAAGCTTGCATGCTAGTTTATGTGGGGTTGGTGTGTCTTTCAAAACCAAACCCCAGTTGCAGAGTCCAGTAAACACACTCTGCAGAGATAACAGCTGCTCTATATTTAGATGTATTTGCCTGTATGAGAGAAGATTCCATTGGATGTTCTGTATTCATTTCAAATAATAGCTTTTCCCCTGCAGCAGACTCAAAGGCAAAGTTATTATTGCTCTGAATGAAGAATATGAATGTTTACTCTGCAGTAATGCTGTAGGATTCAGGCAAACTCCATGGTCTAATTAGCTTAGAAGAGAGCATCTGTTGGTAGAAGTCAACCATGAAGAAACTTCATGCAGAGACATAATTATTTCAAATAAGGTGACGGAAAGAAATATCAAATCAGATGCATTTTAACTGTCCATCACGAGAAAACACAGGCCCACTTTCTGATCTCAGTTACTCTTGATGTAAAGTTACTCTTGATGTAAACCTAGAATAACTTCACTGAAAACAGAGGGCTTACAGCAGCATAACAGGGATCAGAATTTGGCCCCTAGTCTCTTTGCTCGGTCAGACTGCTTTGGGTTGTGGATTCTTTAGGAATCTGTATCCTTAATATTGAAACTGAAAAGAAATAGATTAAAATCTGTTCAGTATTAATGCGTTTTGGCCAATCAAATGCTGGTGTTGCAAGCCACTAACGACACTAATTGCAGTACAATTGAAAGAGGTTAGATTGTCTTGTAGCTACCTCGGTCACAAGCCTGCAGCCAATGGAGTGGAGCCACTGCTTCCTCACCTATATCCATGTTGCACCTGCTTTTGCTTCCCTCCTTCCTTACAGCAGGAGGGGAGGTATCAGGCCTAGTATATTGAATGTACATATATCAACGGTTTGCAGTTCGCCTCTACCAGCCCCGGATGCAAGTCTACACGGGGGGGGGTGTCGATGTAAGAATAGCGTAGCTGAAGTTGACGTATTTTATTTCGACTTACCTCCCGTCCTCACGGCACGGGATTGACGGCCACGGCTCCCCCGTCGACTCCGCTTCCGCCTCTCACCCTGGTGGAGTTCCAGAGTCGACGGGGAGCGTGGTGGGGATCGATTTATTGCGTCTAGATGAGACACGATAAATCGATCCCTGATAGATCAATCGCTCCGGCAGGTGGTGTGGACGTACACTTTATTACAGTATAATACAGACTTACTGATTCTCTCCAATAACATAACAAGTGTCATGGAAAACTATCGACTAACTAGAGTGCAAACAAGACAAAATAAAACCCACACCTCTCACTCGCTTAAATCATTCGATTTGTTGTCAGTAAATAAGGTATTTTGCGGGATTAGCCAATGTATTTCCAAGGTGAGCAGACAATTACTACCACCATCTAAAGAGGCATGTAATAGAGATGGATAATGTGATGATTAGTATTGCAAATGTGGTTTTGTTAGTCAAATAAAGGCAAATTACTTTCATTTAATGAAATGCTGTGTTAACGCTACATGTGTTAATTGGATTAAAAAGCATTTAAAGATTGTCAGCCTGTTAGGTTGCCGGAATAGCTTTCAGTTATATGCTGAAAAGCAGTTGTAGAAATGGCCTTCCAAATGTGTCGTATCGCTCAATAACTCCAGATTGAGTTTGTTCAGCTAACAAATAAAAAGCTGTCGTTTTTGCTAACCAGCAGCCCTACACATTCAACCAGGAGTCCAAAAATCAAGCTATGTTCTTCTTGGCTTTCACATCGTTATCATTAATAAAGTTCTACAGTTGGAATTTAATTAACAATTCTGTAGATGATTACATCAAAAACAATCCAGCTCACTCTCCCATAGCTGGATTACCTCTGCCGTGTAAGGGGAGTAAAAAGCTACATCCTAATGTGACTAATGTAAGCAGCAAAGACTAAATACACACAGGGAGCAGAGCTGTCAGGTGAAAAACTGCCATTTTCACATAGTCACTTTTCTGACCAAAACAGCAGTTTAGCATTGGTAATAACACATTTCAGAGAGTGTAAAAATGCAATGTTATAATGTCATAAGCCAGAAGCTGGGAATGGGAAAGGGGATGGATCGCTTGATGATTACCTGTTCT